ATATTCTGAGCAGGCTTTAGTGCCAGTTAACTATAGAAGAATATTTTAAAAGGTAGGTGATTTTATATAGAAGCAGATATATGCTATCAAAAAAGTATAGCACAAGCCGGGTATGGTGGTGCACACCTATAATCCCAGCACTAGGGTGACTGAGGCAGGTGGATTGCTGATAGTTCAAGGCCAGCCTGGGATACATAATGAGTTCAGGGCCAGCCTGAATTACAAAGGGAGACCTTGTCTCAAAACAAACAAACAAACAAAAAGAGGCATAACCCTGTCATTGTTTTCTGTTTATTAAAGCAGCATCAAAGACTCAACTGGGAGGATAAGACAGGCAGTACTTTATTAGCTTACTTTTGGTTAGTATATGACTGTGAATATAGAAGAAATGTAGTTATTTCAAAAGTTATCCATGCTTCTGGTTTTTGTTGTTGTTGTTATCTTTGTAGCCTTTTTTCTCTATTAGTGAAATAAGTTACATTTGTGCAATGTTATCTTTTCTACGGAAGGTTCAGCAATTTCAGAGTATAATTGTTTTAAATTGGGAAAATTCAATTTTCTCTAATGTTTCAACATTTAACGCAGCTTCAGAATGCTTGTGTTTCTTGCATTACCCAAAACATTTGGAAAATGAACTCATCCAACTCCTCTCTTTCCCATCCTCAGCCCCCAACCAGTTACCCGCCTGATTTCCTCACTTGAGTTAATGCTAATACCATATCTAGTCATTAAGGTTATGAGCCATTTTGGCTCCTTCTTATTTCTTATTTCCATCTCTATTTGCCCTCTCTCATTTCCATATTCTGGGACCCCTCTTTCCTATTGCCACTTCTCTCAAAGGTGCCCTTTGGTCTGTTCGCTCCAAAACTACCTCATCCAGGACTGAGTATTAGCTCACATCTGGGTCATTGCAAGAGCTTCCAAATTGGTTTCCCTTTGGTTTCCCTATTTTCTCCATTGTAACTTAGCTTGAATTTTTCATAGATTAACCTTATTTAAATACACATGCTTATTTCATTACTCTGATTAAATACCATCAGCTGTGGTCCTCTACCAGACAGTGGATACAATTCCCACCATCAGCCATGTTTCCCATGCCTCATGCTACCTTGCTGTCTTCCTGACCTCTCCTTACAGGCCCTTGCTTCAGAGTTGCATTTGCTTAAAATGCCATGGCCTTGCCCCAGTGCTGTCTCCTTGAGAAAGCTCAGACCAAAGCACTCTCCCTTTGTGTCATGCCTCCTACAGCCATTGCCCTGACCCTCTTTTTTTTGTTTTGTTTTTTGTTTTTTTGTTGTTGTTTTGCTTTGGGTTTTTTTGGGTTTTTGTTTGGTTTGGTTTGGTACCAGGGATTGAACTCAGGTCCTTGCGCTTGCAAGGCAGGCCACTGAACCGCTGAGCTAAATCCCCAGCCCTGCCCTTGCACTTTTACTCTGTAGTTATATTTTTGCTACTGTGTTTCTGGGTTGCCTAGGCCTACTTCACTGAACCCCTTGGGGTCTAATTAGTAATCAGATAAACTCATAGAAATGTTTTGTCTTTTCAGCAAAACCCAAAATCACATATGTAGAAAATCAGACTGCCATGGAGCTGGAAGAGCAGGTCACTCTCACCTGTGAAGCCTCAGGAGACCCCATTCCCTCCATCACCTGGAGAACTTCCACCCGAAACATCAGCAGCGAAGAAAAGGTACAATGTCACCCAAGAGTTTCAGGGCCTTGGAATACAGACTCGAAGCACCCTAAGTCTGCCCCAAGCCCAATTCTCTACGGTGAGCTAGAGTGGGGAGGGTGCAGTCACCAGAGGTCGCAGCCAAGTCGTGCAGCCTCCCTCCCTCAGCCTGCCTGAGTGTGGCCTGCTCATCATCCCTTTGCAATGGAGCGGACACAATTCCTTGTGTGAATTGGCAGGGGTGTGATGGTAGTGGGCATGGACAAGTTAGATGCTCTGGGGAGGAGGTGATAGATTTTCAAACCCAGGGTTATAGAGCTGTGAGGAACGAGAAGCGAGACCTTGGTGCACTAGATGATGTCATCACATCTCAAGAGCATCCAGGGAAGGGTCTCCCGGAAACAGCAGGGATCAAAACGAACCTATGATTTCTTTTCCTCACTTTTTGTATACTCATGCTATGAATGCACTATATGCACAAAAGCTTGGTTGCCTTTGTGTCTGCCTGTATTTTTGGTCACATTTGAATTTCATTTTGTTTTAAAGGCAAAAATAATTAGCAGTTTCTAAATGATGATGATTACACCTGGGTTTTGCAATGTATTCACAGAGGGTTTCAGGATACTGTAGTGACCTTCCAGACAGATTAAAACAACTGGAAAGATTTATCTTTAAAGCATGTAGATTTATAGGCCACCAGAAAGCTATTGTTATAGCTGACAATATATAAAAATTGAGTTGAACACCACCCCCGCCATCATGTAGCCCCTTGTACTGAGTGAGCCAAAAATGGGAAAAGGAAAAAGCTTGGTTTTAAAGCAACCTTAAACCCTTTCATGGCACTTCTCCAATCTCATCTCGCATATCCTGTAGTAATGGGTTTCGTTTAGTTAGCCAAAGCTTTGTTACTTATTCTGGAGTAATGGCCTTAGCCTTAAAGAACATTTATAATGGATTGCTTATTGACCAACGAGTCAAAAATAATAGATCTTCACTCATCTGCCTGCTTAAAGGAAATCCCTAGAAAGAAAACTCAAATAAAGCCAAAAAGGGACAGTGAAATGATACCAGATCTAAATTTGGAATTTGCATTTGAGGAATGGACTTCATTTCCACTAATAGAAAACAAAGCTAAATCAAAAGGAACAGTCATTGCTGTTCCCTATAACTCATTTGTTTGTTTGGTTTTTGTTTTTTGGTTTTTTTTTTTTTTGCAAATTTTAATCCAGATTTAAATTCAACTTCACAAAAAACTCAACCGAGGAACTGCTAAATATTTTTGAAACACATATGCTGTTTGATATGCGAAAACCAGCTAGATTAAGAAATGTGGTGTTTATTGGGATACTTTCTTTATCAACATTGGAAATAAATCCCCAGCTAAGACTTCAGCTCCCATTGTGTGTTATGTGGATTGAATGTACATTTCAGGGCTTACTCTACAGGGCTGCTGCTTGGCAGGTCTTTCTACATTAGACTTAAAAGTAGCTTTGTCCAGAGTGACCCAGTGCATATCTTTGACCTACAGTGAAGGACAGAAATATCTATCTCAGATGAATGCTGCTTTTAAATTCTCTTTTCTAGAAATAGCTTAACAGCCAAACTAGACCAGACAGATTATTAAGATTTGTGCCTTCCGCAGATTCTTTAATAAACTGACATTTCTGGCCATTACCTATGATTCCATTTTCTAGAATGAGAAAAAGTAGCCAGGAGTTAATATATATTTATACTTAGTAAGTAGAGAGACTGGAGGTGTCCAAAAAGGCTTTCTTACAGCTACCAGGAACTGATTTTTTCAATTTCCAATACACGTCATCTGTCTTAAACTGAGATAATTAGTCCAGTGCAGCCACGTAGGTTATACTGCAGGTCCTTCTGCCACAGATTACCTGCAGATTTACTTGAAATGACATTATGGGAGCATGAGTCAGTAAATGTGAGAACAAGTCCTCCAGATCAGCTCTAGATGTGATACCTGATGAACGTATTTGCCTAAATGAAATCCTATATAACAAAATTTGCCATTTCTATTAAGCATTGACATCCAAGAGGCATGTTGTCCATCTTATCATGTAGATAGCTAATATTTAAGAAAACAAATATGAGTTATCATGTAGATAGGTAATATTTAAGAAAACAAATATGAGTTATGTATGAGCAGTTTGGATTCTAGAAAATAAACCTCACTTTTATTTTGGCAAACTATTTATGTTCTTCTCCCACTAAAGTTGTGTCATATGTGTAATTAGGCTTTGAGATTACTAGCATCCTCAAATTGTAGGAGTTGAAGAAAACAATTTTATCTTTAAAATTAGGATGATATGCTAATCAGGTTGCATCTAATTGGTAAAGAAATCTCCTCTGGAGAATTAGGTCACATGAAATACCAGAATTGTAGAAAGTTGGAAGGCACCTATCAAGGTTATTTGGTTTTATCTGGCTCCCTTTTCTAGCATCCCGGCTAGAAAGTCATTTGGCCCCTGTTTGAAGTTTGATGGTCCCTCTGTCCCTCCGTGGAAGAGTTGGCCAATGACACTGATCAGGAAAGGCTGCTTTCTTGCTCCTTCCTCTGTGCAGTGCTCCCCACCTCTGCCACTTGGTCCTTTATCTGACAATCACTCAAGTAGTTCTCCTGTTTTCCTTTAGTCAGTCTACCCTTTTGCATTTAATACACCCAGCCATTGCTACTGTCTCTCATGCCATGGTTCCTACATCCTTTACTCTTGCAGTTGTCCTGTACTAGACCGCTTCAGTTCACTGGTGTTCCTCCAAAACGGTGCCGTGCACAGTGTACTTTACGCAGACTTCAGAAGGGCTGGTTCCTGCTTGAGCTGGACACCATTGTGCAGTTAAAGTTGCATTAGTCCTTGAGTCGTGTCCTCTTTCTGCTACTTCATATTGAGCTTGTGGTCAACCAAAATGTGCAGGTCTTTTTTGCATGAATTGCATTTAAGCCACATATCCCTTATCCTGTTCTCACATAATTGATTGCTTTCACCAGTGATGCAGAGTTTATATTTATTTCTGTTAAGAATTATATTTTTTTTTGTTGCAGCCCAGTGTTCCTCATTAGGTCATTACGGCAATTTGGGAAGAATCTTTCAAGGGGTCTGTCCTATGCATTGCAAGATGTTTAGCTAGTCTTCTCCTCCTTAAATCCTCAAATCAACCTCTAATCATGAAAAATGCCACATGTGCACACACTTTCAGTTTAAGGACAACTGTTTCAGCTATCTATCCAACTCATAAGGTTGACTTAATTAGAACTATCCCTAGAAGTCTATGAGTCAGGGCATTTCACCCCTTGTGGGGCCCCTATTTTCTATTATTTTATATTTTAATTAATGTGGAAGAACAGTTCATGGTGACCCCAGACTGAAGCATAAAACTCTAAAGATAAGAAATTCAATATCCTTTCCCAGTTCAACTGTCATCTAACATATACATTAGCTGTTGTTTCCAACTTTGTTGAACATTTACTTGAAATATCTTTGCTCAGGCCACTGATAAAATGTTGTCTGGGGCAAGGTCAATTCTGGAGCCCCCCTCATGGCTTCAGGTCAGTGGCTCAGAAGGTAAAGCACCAGACACCACTGTGCCATGGAGTTCTTTATGATTCTGAGGACTTGAATGTAAAGTTCAATGGTCCCTTTAATAAAGTAAATTAAAATATAAAGGAATTGAAGCAATTTTGTCTTTTGTGTCATTCTTAAGTCTGATAGTCTATTATTACCTTTCTTATGGGAAAAGGAGAAGCAGCTTTTACCCATAGACATTGAGACTTTCTATTGGACTATCAGTGTTCATTTTAAAAAAGAAAGAAAGGGAAAAGCAAAACCAGTACAGTGAGTATGATCATCATCCCTATCCGTGATCATTTCTCTGGACTGAGTCTAATTACCAACTTGAAAATGATCATTATTAATCTGTTAACTTGTTCCTTGAGTTTGTTTAGCTTCGCAATTGGTAATAGGCTGAGTCTACTTGTTTGGATCAGTGAGATTATTAAGGCAAATCAATTTTCCAAAAGTTGAGCCATTTCTTAGTGGTAGCTATTTTCTTCACAAAAAAAATGTTGAACATCATAATGAGTCAGTTTGATCATGTGTATGGAAGTCTTGTGATAATTCAGGAAGTTTGTGCATCTGCATCATTTCATTACTCACCCTGCACAGATTCATCTTAAATATTGCCAGGTGTTTGACTAAGTGTTGCTAAATTCCAAGCACCATTTACATATTGAGTGAGACCCAGGGATAATGATTTGCATACTCCATCCTGGCAGAAAAAAGAGTCCATCATTTTCTTATTTGAACACCTCTATGCCTTTGAGAGGAATGCAAACAATGACGCATGAAGCTGTAATATTTAAGAGAAAAGAGAGGAGTAAAGAGCTGAGATCAGAGGACATAGGTAAGAAAGAAGAAAAACATCTTGTAGCTCTTGCATCTTTGACTGACAGAGTGTACCACATATAAGAGAGCCCTGTTGAAATTCTGGATTTTTTTGGAAGGTGCAGCTTTCTTTTCATTGGGGAGAATTCATTCAGGACAAACCCACCTTTCCCATTTGTAAGCACTGAGCTATCCCAGACTAGTTTATCTAGGGTATGGGCAAATGTATCACAGGGAATGTGCAAGATAAGTCTAGGGATGCGTTGCTTTAGCTTATGTACATATGCCTGGAGTCTTGCATGGAAGACAATAAAACATGAATATGAAAACAAGCTAGAACTAACATTTTGGAAGCATTATTGATAATACCCTAATTTATTTCCTAAGCATGCATAGATTGCCTTAACTAGCAACTAATTAGTCTCAAAGCTACAGAACTGTAGTGACTTGAGAAAGACACAGAAGAATCAGATTTGAAAACTAAAAAGATCCATAGGAGATAGCTCCTTGGAAAAAAACCTTGATTCATTCAGCCCTGGCATGTGACAAACACGCTTTTCAGTGCTGTGGAATTGGCAATTACATTTCACATGTTGGTCCGGCTCACTGTTACTTTGTTTTATGCGTGTTCCTCTGTTAGCATTTGTTCCTTCATTCCAACATCACATGACATAATCCAGCATATCCATCCTCATTCCTCACAAAAGCTCCTTGCCTTTGTCAGACTCTTACTAACTGTCTGGTAACTCATGTGCATTCCCTGGATTGCATTGCTGTGTTTCTGAGTCTTTTTTTATCCTTTTTCTGTCCAAACGTCAGGGACAATCAGGCAGCCATGCCACCAATGAAAAGCTATGATGTGACTATGATGTCTTCGATGCCCAATATAAAAACAGAAAAACTGTAAGCAGAGTAGAGGCTGCCCAAGTGCTATTTAAATAAAAACACCTAGATGTGGGTTGGAAATTCCCCAAACCTCTATGTCCATGAGTTGTCTTACTCCCGTGTAAATGCTGTGTTAGATGAAGGTAGTACTTGCATGAGCCTGCATCCCATCTGAGCATTCATTCTCTGCCTTTCATGGCTGGAGCCCTACCACACCACTAAGCATTTGATATTCTCAAAGCTTCCTGATCCGTAGTTTCAAAGACTTCATACTTCTCACGTTGAATATACCTCTCTGCTCCTTGCTTTGTTCCTTTTTTAGTTTTTGAATAAATTTTATTTTCAGTGGAATGCATGTAAAGGTTATAAAATGCATGAGCATAAAATGGCATTAGTATATCTGTGATAAGTTGTATAATAAAATCCAGAGGAGGAATCTACTCTCTAAGAATCTTTAGATTATGTGGACAGAACTACTAGTATCACCAAATACTACAAGGGATATTTAAACTGTTTTACAACATGAGCAGTCTAATATGTCTGCTGGTATCTGTAGATGTGTTCTGCCAAATATTAGGAACAGCTTTACCTTTGAATTATACATTTTAATGTGCTTAAGGGGGAAAAATCTGAATATAACCTAAAGCCTAAATTCAACTGGGTAATAAACACACCATTGAAAGTGGGCCTTAGAAAAAGTTCTAAATTAAAAAGAAGCTGCATGTGCACGGAATGCAGGGTGATACATCCATTCTCTAAAGCAACATGTTGTAAAATTTTACTGCTTTCTTGTTGTGTTTTATATCTTGTTCTCTCCAGGCTTCGTGGACTCGACCCGAGAAGCAAGAGGTATAGCTTACCTGACCACTAGCCAGTCTTTAGTTTTGAAAGCATTGCAGTTTAACTCACCATTACAGTGTAATAACCAGACATGCTAAGCTAATTAGTATTTTAGTTAGATTAAAGAATAGGTCGATAGTGGTAGACCTCACTTTAGCAATAGTGTCATTTTTAGGATGAGCAAGCAAGCTGTGTTGGGAGTGGATGAACAAATCCTTATTATTTCCTAAAACTGGATCTTATTCTCTTGCTGGTGCTGGTAAAATCACATCCAGGTAATTATACTGATAGAAATAAATTGCCCCAATACCCAGGCCAGGCATTTGAAGTTAAAAAAAAATTTTTTTTTTTTTTTGCTCTCTTATAGTGGATGTGGCTTTGGATCATAAAGTCACAGAGTTAGTGATCTAAAACCCACTCAGCCCTTTCCCTTCCAGCTCAACTCATCTTGTTGCTCACTTATTTCATAATGATTGGTCTTGGTAAATTATCACATCGTATTTCATGTCAAAAGCTACACAAGTGACAGCTCTCATTGGTTTTCTCAAATTGCTAAACATACCTGTTACTTTTATAGAGCATTAAATTTATGAGATTGGAATGATTTGGTACAAAATGGGTTTATGGTTTATACCATCAGTAGCATTTAACCTTTGAAATTTTTCTGCCTACTTGCTTCAGTTCAGGTAGTGTGGGACTTAGTTTGAAAACTGAAGCCAAACATTGACCTTTAAATTTTAATTGCTGCACTCCAAGACCCGGTGCATGGTCTTGCCCATCATTTTTTTACCTGATTTGTGTGATTAAGTGACAAATAGTAAAATAAAAACTATCCTACTTTAGATGGAGTTCAAGGATCTAATATATAAAGATTTTTATTGAGTAGCTTTTGTCTCTTTAAATGAAGCTCTGCTACTGTAAAACTAAAAACAGAAGATCCTATAGATTCTGTTTTAATTCTATAAATCTTATTGTAGTCTTTTGAAATGGTAACTATTCAGAATCCATAACTCATGTGTATACATATTTAATGCTGCTTAATATTTAAAAGTTGACCGCCTGTCCCCAGGTACAGATATTAGTTCCTGCACAGGGACACGCTGCCCTTGCCCTGCATAAGCTCAAGTCTAGTTCATTATAAGTTCTCTTTGTAATATTCCTTCCCAGAGTCATAGGGAAACACAGTTAGATATGTGTCCTCGCTGAAATGCTTCCCTCCTGTGGCACAGGAATCCCTTGGTACTGTCACAGGTTGTATGTTTTATTGCCCCAAAGACATGGACCCTTAGGGACTGGGGAAGGAAAAGAAAAAAGGTTAATTGTCAGCCAGTCTTAAGCCACAATTGATCTCATTTTTCTCTTCCATATACATTTTTCCCACCTTTCTGGTCTAGACCTGGTTAGAGAAGGAGCTGGGATTTATCAAGGAGATGTTAAGAAAATTATTATTATTATTATTATTATTATTATTATTATTATTATTATTAGAGGAAATGATAGGTTTAATCCCAGGAAAGCAGACACATCACTCCATTTTCCTGAAGTATCTTTATCTTAAATGCAGCGCTTTGGACATAATTGACTTTCAAGTGAATGCAGCCCATGGGTCTCAGGAGTTCCATGTTCTCCTATTTGTCTCATTCAGAGATGAAAATCCTAAAAGTCTGGATGGCTGCAAAAAAAGGCTTGGGAGATATGACACATTTCATTCTGTAATTGCTGGAAAGCCTTAGCACTTTTACCTGGAAGAGAAAGACAAAAAATGTTTTGATAAGAATAATTATCATTGTCCTATGTGTTTTTGTTAAGAAAAAAGATCTGTCATAAGGATCTCTTCCCTCTTGCCCGAAGCTCATCTACTCCCTCTAGGGGAGGCTGGATGGTCAGCATAACATCTGGTCTTGTCGGTGACTGTCTCCATGCCTTAAGGAGGCATCTGAAGGGAAGATAGTTCAGTTGCACTGGAGTCTATCTGTGTATCCTCAAAGGGAGAGCTTGGCATCTGCTAAGTAATCACATCATCAAACTTGCAGTGAGCCACTGCAAAATAAGAATTCTGTTTAGAGGACTACTTACTGATCTGTTGACATCATTAAATGAGAGAAATTTCCACATAGGGAAACTTAGTAAAAGAGACCAGGTTAAAAAAACAAAGTATGGCTGTCCCTGACGTCATTGTTCTATCACTTTCTTGATTATTCTGAGTAAAACCTACCCCTCCTCTGCCTTACTGTTTTTAATGTCCACTCTTACCCTGAAGGACTTCGTTTGCTTCTCTTCCCTATGGAAATGTTCTCCTGGCTTCTGACGATTATGGCATATGGCAGCCCCGGGATCAATAAGTCTGGATCACAAAGAATAATAGCTTCTCTGATAGTTGACATCCCTGATCTGATCAGAAAGGCTAGGTGTGACCTCATATCACCTCTGCCTTCAGTCCTGCTGTGTTTTGGGCAAATAGAAGTGACAAACACATCAGGCCAATTCTTTAGAGAGAACTGCAGGAATGACTTCATGCCCTTGATGGCCTCTAATGCAGACTGAGGAGTAAACGTTTGTGCTCAGCATATGAAAATAGCCAATAGGATGGGCTGCACATCACTGTCAGCTACAAGGAAAGGAGTCCCAGAATTCAACCAGCAAAGTAGATGTCTCAGTCTTGGGGAGTGCCCCACACCTGTCTGCTGACATCTTTCATTAGTGGGAGCCATCCTAGGATGCACCATCTCAGGCAGCCAGCCTCTAGAAGTACAAGCCAAGTGGAAATACCAGGGTCTTCTCCTTAGAGAGTAGAGTTACTCATGACAGCATGCAGTGATGATTTTACTCAGTCCTTTCTTCCCCTTATGGGAAGGGTGATGATGAAAGAGGATTATTGTGATTATTCTGTTGAGATGGCTGCACAAGGTCCGTTCCTTTTGAGTCTCCCAGCTCACACCTATAGGGCATTGCATTTCTGGCTTCAGGATTCCAAACCAGCATCTCCAACAGACATAAAGCTAAGTGTCCTTTAACTGTATAAAGACTGAGACTGCTTGGAATGGCAGGAATCAGATGCAGAGTCTCCTTTTATCCATCTCTGCAGAACATCATATATTGGAGATGAGGGTCGCCCAACCTACCAGGAACATGACCTCCTCTAGTTTCCAACTTTGTGGGGGTTCTGGACTTGGGCCACGTGGCTAGATTTTCCTGAAGCTAGAATGTCAAGAGGGAAATATCTTAGTACCCATTGCCTAAGGATCAATGCTCATTCTCTTCTTGACCAGTCACTTTAATTCCAGCAACTCAGGAGACCAAAAGCAGTATCAATGGCTAGGGTATAGTGGAGTCTATGGTGTTAAGAATCCAAGATCCATACCACTATCCCTGAAGGATTTTGTAACCCTCATGTCCAGCTCCTGATCGTAGAGCTGTTTGACGTTTCTGTAATGGAATTATTTCACTTGTAAGCATTCAGCAAAGAAAGGCATCTACAGAAAATGAGCTTTTTTTTTCTTTTCAAAATTTCTTGCATTGTGCACCTTCTTTCTCGTTACACATGCATGCACCATGGAACTGGAGGGCGAAGACTGGAAAGAAAAGGCAGGAGTCCAAGTTTCCTAGGATCTTATGAGACAAGAATATTGCCTATGGAAGCTCTGCTGACTAGGGCTTTGGCTTCCATTTTATACATCCCAAAAAAGTAGTCTTGGGATACCTAACCTGTCCTTACTCCAAACCAATTTTAACACACAGTGCTGGCCATTTGACATAATTGGGTCCCACCTTCTGTTTTGGATACACTGAAGTTCCCATAGTGCTCTCTGAGCCTCCCCTATTAGGTGATACACAAAGTGGGACTTAGATGGCACAGAAAGGAGACAGGATGTGAGGCTGGGTTCAAACAAGTGGTGGCCTAGTCTCTAGCCCCACTCTGCTGTGGCTCTCTGTCTTGCCTCAGACTCTGACGCTCACCCTTCTCTCCTGGCAGACTCTGGATGGGCACATGGTGGTGCGTAGCCACGCCCGAGTGTCATCCCTGACCCTGAAAAGCATCCAGTACACAGATGCGGGAGAGTACATCTGCACGGCCAGCAACACCATCGGCCAGGACTCGCAGTCCATGTACCTTGAAGTGCAATGTGAGGAAGAACTGGGGAAAGACATGGGGGGTGGAGGCATTATGGGGTCAGAGGGAGAGAGGAAAATGGCAGCCAGGACATGAAGTGCACCCTGTGAGCTTTGTCACATTCCCTATTGCAGTGGGCCCACAGCCATTTCAAAGCTGTGTTCCCAAGATAACCACACCACTATCCCCTCTCAATGTATAAGCCTTCTGTGCTCTGAGTCTTCCCAGGTGGCAGCTGTGCAGGAGAATTCCAAAATGGGCCGACCTCTGCTATAGCAGGCACTAGTTTTGCTTTGGGGCACATCAGTCTTCCCAGCACCAGGTGATAGGATATGGTAACTCTAAGGTAGTGGTGGTCATTCTGATAGTCACTGTCATTCATTGCAGATGCCCCCAAGCTACAGGGCCCTGTGGCTGTCTATACTTGGGAAGGGAACCAGGTAAACATCACCTGCGAGGTATTCGCCTACCCAAGTGCTACAATCTCCTGGTTCCGAGATGGTCAGTTGCTGCCAAGCTCCAATTACAGCAATATCAAGATCTACAACACCCATTCTGCCAGCTATCTAGAGGTAAGTCAGGATGGAGAAGGACATTTAGCAATGGGTAAGCTTTTGGATGCTGCTTACATCTTCATACCTGCTTCCCTGGCCCATCCTGAACTGGGTAGCTGTTGACTGAGGAAGAAAATGAGCCTCACCCCAGGTTACCTTTCTGGGCTGCACTGATGTTCTCCATGAGGCTACACTGGGATGAGGAGGTAAAATGTGTCTATCCCACAAGCCTCTGGGCTATTCTCTCTTGTTCAAGATGGAGCCAGAGTTAATAGTTTGTGTTTTATTAGCTCCATTCTTCACTAATCTAACCCAGTAAATAAGGATCTGAATCTGTGGCTATCCCACAGGACACTTGTAACCCAAGGGCTCCTTCTTTCCAAAGGTGACCCCAGACTCTGAAAATGATTTTGGAAACTACAACTGTACTGCAGTGAACCGCATTGGACAGGAGTCCCTGGAATTCATCCTTGTGCAAGCAGGTGAGTGGCCCTCATAGTGAATTCTACACCACCCTTACCCTTGCCAGCCCATCCTGTGTTTTCTGGGATACCAAGGGGGTAGAAAGGAGAACCAATGGTTAGGAAGCAAGGAGCCACTGGAGGTATGAAGATCTAAACACAGAATGTGTTGAGGGAGAATCATATGGTGGCCAGGACAGAATATAGCTAACAGGATTCCTAAAAGTAGAAATGAAAGAGATGTGCTTTGACATTGGAAGTTGAGGTCTGGGCCATACTGGGATCACAGGGTCTCCCTATGTGTCCTCTCCACAGACACCCCATCTTCACCATCCATCGATCAGGTGGAGCCATACTCCAGCACAGCACAAGTGCAGTTTGATGAGCCAGAGGCCACAGGTGGAGTGCCCATACTCAAATACAAAGCTGAATGGAGAGCACTGGGTGAAGAAGTATGGCATTCCAAGTGGTATGATGCCAAAGAAGGTAGGTCTGGAAGAGAGCATCTCCTACAGGATCATGAGCACATTGCATTCAAGTACTCACTCCCAGTATTTGCCAAATCCTAGCTACAAATTTGAGTAGATGCCACACCACTCTTATCTACTAGAACGTGCCAGATGTCTTCACCAGCCACCCCATCTGGCTTCCTACCGTATTAGGAGCTGTCTCTCCAGGATTAGGTCACAGTCAGATCTCCCTGCTTGGGTGTCGGTACCCAGGAACCGTTGTGTAATTACGACAGGGACCAAATAAGCAGAGCCAGCAAGATAAGTCTGCTCTGCAAGCAAATCCTCAGATACCTTTCCAAGCTAAAAGTTAAGAAAATGGCTTGTAGATAGATGACTGCAATTTCAAGATCTGAGCCCAGATCATCTAAGGATGAAATTATGTCTACTCCCCCTTTGGAGTTTAATTGGAATAACTTGGGGAATTATGTTGAGTTTCTGTAGAAATTTTTAATCTTAGCCTGGTGTGTGGGAACTGGGATGGAGTTGGGAATTGGCACTGCAGCCATTCAGAGACAGAGCCCTGTGCAGGTTTCCTGGGAATAGTTTCCCCCTCCTGCTTGGAGCTGGATGGTACAGCCGAGAGGAACTGTTCTGTAATTCAGATTAGAATAAAAAGAAAATAATTCATTTGCTTTCCTAACTTTCTTCTGAAACGTCGTACCATTGACTGTGTGGCAGATTGGTCCCATGTTACAATCTGTGCCAAACTTTTTTCTTTTTTTAAGATCAGTTTTAGTTTTTTTGAGATTGATTTTAGTTTGTTTTTCACTATGGCAAAATATATATATATATATATATATATATATATATATATATATATATGTTAT